GGGGGTCAGGGCTGTTTCCTTAAAGCTTCCAGTCATGCAAGTTCTGTGCCGGAGCGCAGTGATCGCGGGGTTCCCGGGCGGGCAGGTGGGTCTCGCCCGGCTCCGTGCGGAGGGCTCGGCCTGGGTGCGGCCGGTGACCTGTGACACCGACGGGACGCGCGGGGCGTAAGGTGCTTTGGTGGTGGCAGGGGATGTTTGGGAAGTGGCGTTGGCAGTGATGGCTGTCTTCTGCTGCCCGGTGTAGTGGCGTGGTTGGTTCAGCCAGCTCCCGGCGTGGTTAGGGGCAGGTAGCTCCACCTGCGGAAAGAAATCTTTGCTCCTCTGTGCAGGTGGAAAAACTCGAGTTGTTCTTGCTGATGTAGCAATACCTAAAGCAGCGCTTTGGCTCGCAGGTCGTTGTTGTACAGCACTGATGAGGAACGCTGGCAGAGCTCAGTGGCCTGCTATTTCTTGGAAAATCGATGGTCTCTGAAGCTGTGGTGAGTGATGCACATCATCTGTGGGGAGCCGTGTCACAGTGCTCCTGGCTCTAGCGGTGGCAGGAGCGTGTCACAGCCAACCAGAACTCCAGAGCACTGGTTGGAGCCTGTGGATTCCACCAGTGGGAAACCTTGACTGAAGCTCAGTCTTCTGTCATCCTCCAGGCTTTTGATTGATGTTGATTTTTTTTTTTCCCCCCTCTTTTCCTCATTTCTTAGTGCTGGAGGTGGTTCATGGCTAGCGTTGCATGTTCTTACCCAGTTTATCCATTTGTAAAAGTTAGTCCCTGGTGTAATGCGAGGACGACTGGTGGATCAGACAAATGGACCTTTGTCTGTTCTCTGATGATGGCTAGAAGTGCGTGCCCTGGTGAGAGTAGAGAGAGCAAGTTTATAGCAGTGTATCCCCTGGATTGTGCTTCCAGTCTTGGGATTTCTGAATTTGTATTTAGAATCACTGTTGACAAGAAAAATCTGTTGCTCTCTAAACCCAGGTAAACTTGTGGTGCAGCAGTGTCCTGCTGCAAACTCTTTCACAGCTTAAGTTACCTGTCATGTGAAGTAGGATCGCTTTCTGGTTTTGATGCGTTATCTGCTTGTTGCCCCTCATCACCTCAGCACTTATATTGGCAGAGCACAGGGATGGTCATCTGACAATTGTCATCTTCAGGGCAAATATGTAGGCCGTGGTCTCCTGTTTTAGTTTGCAAACCTGTAGTCTGTTTATTCGTTTCTCACATGGAAGCTGTTTTGTGCCAGTGACTAGGTAATGTGACAGTGAGAAACTGAGTACGTAATTCTCTCGGGTACTTGCAGCATAATGTTTTGGCCAGTTTTAGGTTGCCAAACATATCGTGGCACTTAAAATACGTGTGAACTCACTGCAGCTGCTGTTCTTGAGTACTGGCAGCCTGGGAGGGCTGGTCCAGTATGTCATCTGGAAGACACATCTGTGTTAGAGAGAACTTGGCTTTCCTTCTGTGCGTGGATTAACTAATCAGATAAATAAAGGAGATAACTTCTGGAGACCTCCATCCATGATCACAATCAATCAGGTGTCGGGTGTGTTTACCTTTGCTGTCCTGCAGTAGTTGTAGCGTGATGTGGAAGAAGCAGCCAAGTTAAATTTTGGACATCTCTGAAACGTAAAATCCTCCTCACTACGCTTATTAAAGAAGAAGTTACGCACACATCTTTAAGGAAGGATACAGGTCTGCTTGATTCAGCTTTGGACTGAAAGTGCATGAGCTCAGCTGGTGAGGAAGTTTCACAGCTAAAGGCCTTCATGAAGCAACCCAGAGTGTTTCCCACACAAACAACTTTTGTGCATATCTGCCTGTAATTCAGTAGAAATGAAAGCAGTTGAATGTAGGAGTTGCCAGATGTGGCAATATTTAGCTTCTTCAGTTGAGTTTCTAAGGGAAACTTCTTATTTTAAAACTGAAGCTGTTTTAACAGAGCGAGGCAGAAAATGGATTGCTCATAAAGCTCTGTAAGGAACGTTTCTCCTTAAAGAGATTATTTTCTCATGTCTCCCTTGTCACTTACTGAAGAGGCTTTTGGCAGCTTTGGCAGTTTTGAGGAGTTCTTAAGTTAATGTAGCAGCCAGAAACCAGGAGCTAGAGCGCAGGAGTCAGCTGACTGGAGGTCGTGGTTTGAGGGAGAAAATAAAGCTTTGAAGGAGAAAAACATTTTGAATCCTTATAGGGATATTTCCTGTTTATTCTGTAACTGCTTTTATAGCCACTCTGCATTTTTTTTTTCTTTAATTAACTCGGTCTGAAGAATAAGTTGTTGTAAGAGTTGTGCCAGTGCCTGCTTTGAGGATGAGGAGTGTTGGGTGGTTTACTAAGACAGATGAGCTTGGGGCCTGTGCCTGGGGAGGACGAAAGCTCGGCCTGGTCATAGGCAGTGGCTGCGGGCGCCGCTTGGCAGAGAGCTGTGTTCCTGGTACTGCTGCGCAGGGGCCAGGGGGAGGTTGGCTGCTGATACAATACGTTGGTACAGCCGTTTTGGAGGTGGTTTTCTGTTGTTTGGGTTTGGTTTGTTTTGAGACCAGTCCGTTGGTTCAGCTCCTTCAAATGTTCCTTGATGAACGACCCTGTACTCCTCTCTGGCTGCGCATACCTTGAGCTGGCTTCTGGGGCAGTGGCCTGGAAACGGATGGGTGCTAGCTGCCTGGCAGAAGAGGGCCTCTCTAGCTGTTGCTTTTTTATTTTTTTTTGCTGCAGTCACGTATTTTCGACTGACTTGCATGCACTCCCAGTAGGTCTTCAAAGACCACGTGCTGTATGCTCATACTGTGAATTGAAGGGTCAAAAAAAAGACTTTCAGTGTTCTGTCAATTCTGCTCTGCCTATTCGAGAAGCAGCAGTGTGATGGGATGTGATCGTTGACCTGTGCCTGCCTAAAATATGTTTCAAAGGTTTCCCTTTGTATTTTTAACTTGATTGTTGTTTTTTTCATTTCCTTTTTTTCTAGAATTCTTCCGAGAGCCACAATTGTGCCAAAAGCATCTTGACCTCAGACAGGCTGCAGATAGTCGTGACCCTGTCGGAGTTCTTTAACGAAACCTGGGAGGCAGCCAACTGTGCAAGTATGTGACTCCTTCTGTAGCTGTCGTGATACTCTTGTGACTTAGCCCCTGAAATTTGCACGGATCAGAATTGTGTGTATTTGGTTATATACAGTCAGTAGATAACAGACAAATCCTGAACTAGGACCACTCCAGTGAAGGGTGCCAGAGCTCTTTATTCTGTAGGGCATACTGCCAAAATCTGAGGGTACTAGTCTGTTGGATAACTTAGTTTTATATAAATATTTCTTTTAGGCTGTTCTTTCAAAAGACAGTCATGTTCATTTTCTCTGTGACCTACAGACCTTGCTGGAGACTTTCCTTGACTTCACTGCAGTTTCTTTTTGTTTTTCTCAGTTTTCCCCTTTTTCCAAAAACTTACATAAGAGACTTTACCTTGTTTGTCAATAAAGTCAGTAACTCTGGAATGCCTACACATTGAACAGTGTCTGCCTCCACAGCCATACTTTTTATTTCATTTTAAGTGTTCAAGGCCAGGCTGGATGAGGCTTTGAGCAACCTGGTCTAGTGGAAGGTGTCCCTGCCCATGGCAGGGGGGTTGGAACTAGATGGTCTTTACGGTCCCTTCCAACCCAAACCATTCTATGATTTTATGGGTGGAAGGTGTCCGAGTCTATCTCTGTATCTGACTGTCCCTGTGCTGATGGTGCTGTGTCACGCTTACAGCTAAACTGTGTCTTTTTGCCATTCTGCTGGTGTAGGAAGTGGAACCTTACTCTAATAGGCGCACTGGAGAGCGGAGGGAATAGCACTGTGGGATTGAGTGTTAAAGATGCTGGATTTGCTGCAGAGTCCCTCGAGAGCCCAGAAGAGTTGATTTTCCTGTGCGAGTGTGGGCTGTGTGAAGACTGGAAGGGGCAATGCAGGAGGAGCTCTGTGGTCGCTGCTCTCCTGCTGTGCTTGGCTTGTGTGCTGCCTGCCCAGAGTCCAGCTGAATGCTCGCCCTCCTTCTTTCATAGAATCATAGAATAGAATCGCAGAATGGTTTGGGTTGGAAGGGACCTTAAAGACTATCTAGTTCCAACCCCCTGCCATGGGCAGGGACACCTTCCACTAGACCAGGTTGCTCAAAGCCTCATCCAGCCTGGCCTTGAACACTTCCAGGGATGGGGCATCCACAGCTTCTCTGGGCAACCTGTTCCAGTGCCTCACCACCCTCTCCGTGAAGCACTTCTTCCTGATATCTAATCTAAACCTCCCTGCTTTCAGTTTAAACCATTCAGGAGAATTTTCCAGGGTGTGGGCTTGCTCTCACGGTCCTGTTGCTGAACATCTAAATTCCCAAACTGCTGCTGTTTTCAAGGGTCTGTCTGGTTAGAGCAGAAGCGGGGTGGAATGGATGGAAGCAGTAACACAGTAGGGTTGAGCCTGTAACTGGGAGGAAAGCCCCTGACTGGTGAAGTGGTCAGCTCTTTTCTTAAACAATAATAACCTACAGTCTGAATCTGCTGTTGTGCTCATTGTCCAGCTGTTTCCCGGATGCTCTCTGCTTTGTCTCCACTGCTGGTGCTTCTGCTTTCACATAATGGCTGTTACTGTAGCTGGGCAAAGCCAGATTTGCAGAGTAGAAAATAAAAGTAATGTCTTGTTTTATCTTAAAGTCCAAAGATAATTCAGACCCCCTCTTCAGAAAGCTCTTGATGGTAGTCTTCATCTTTCACTTAATCAAGGCCAATTAATTCTGAAATATGGTCTCGATGAGGAGTTAGGTCGGCAGGTCTGAGACTCCAGTGGCAGGCAGATAAAGAAACTGCAGTGTTGACTAGACCTGTCGTTTGTAGTCGAGAGCTCTTTTTGTGGGAGTGTAGTGTCTGGGGCTTGTCAGCTACGGAAATGTTAGAAATTCGAAGATCCTGATTGTTTTTCTTTCTCTTTGACAGATTGTTTAATGAACAGCAGTGAGGGATTAACAAATTCTACTGTAGAATTCCTGGATTTATTCAATAAATCTCTGACATGTTTTGAACATAACCTTCAGGTATTTATGCTGTGTATTTAAGAGAAGCACTAAATCCTTTAATTGCTACCAAAATCTTATTTATGCTTAATAAACTGCAGATATGAATTAGGCAAATAAACTGCTGCTGAGTTTATGGATTTTAGGCAGAGAAAGCAATGATCTGTAAAACGCCGATGTTTACAGATGGAGAGCCTAGAATTAATTCTAATTGATATTCACCTTGACTTCATTTTGTCTGTAATTGCAACGCTACTTCGCATCAGAATTTCTGCATGCACAATAGTCGATAATTACATAGTAAGAAACACTATGTCTGCATGCTGCAAGTCTCTTTTTCTACCTCTTTGGAGAACTGTTGTCTTCCGACTTAACAATTCAGTCTTTAAATAGCCTCTTGACAGTATAGACTAGTTCAGAAAGACCAGCACCTTAAATCATTGTAACAGTTCTTTTGACTAGTAAAACTGTGGGTACACAGAGTTTGTGCATATTGCAAGGGCGATATAATTGGCTTAGAAATCAACGTGGTAATTGTCCTCAAAGAAAACACCTAAGAAACAGCGCATATTCCGTTTCCGTCGGAAACTGGCCAAGGGGTGGGACCATTCAGTGGGAAAAATGGGGAATGATAGGTATGAGGCAATCTCTGAGGAAACTGTATGACTTTTTATTATTGATGATTTCTCGGAAATGTGCCTTTATGGGCCTGGCCCATGAGCAGTGTGGGCTGGCCTATTGATCCGTTCAAGGGTCTGAACTGGGACTTAACCCAGTGGTCGGTGGGTAGCTGATAGGACCGTCACTAGGTTGGAATATCTTTAGGGATTGTAATTTGGTTTTCCAGTGTGTTGTATTGCATTCAGGGGTGGTGAAGGCCGCAAGTGAAAAGGATTACTTACTGTGGGAAAGCCTGTCAGTACAGCTCAGCAGTAACAGCAGTTACTTGTTAGGTATGGGCAAACAAAAACCAAAACACAACATTAAGGAACCTGATGTCTGGCTCCAAGATAACATTTAATTGCTAGTAATTTTTTTTTTCCTCCTTCTGGGAACTGGTACTTAAAAAATAAGTGTAAGGGTTTTTTTAATTAAGGAGGAAAAAAAAAGGCTGCTAGTTCAGGGAGCGGTTTGAGATGCATAATCTGCAGGAAATGGATCCTGTCCCTAGTGAATTAGAATTGGTTCCTTTTCCTCCTGCATTCTCATGTGAGTTGTCTGTCTGGGCCTCTACTCAGTCTAGGGTGCTAGAAATTTGGATTTCAGGTCAAACTTGAGCCTAGTTTTTAATTTTTATTTTTTAAGTAATGCCTTAAAACTCTGTATGAATGCTGTTTTATAACCTTAGGGACAAAACATCTATCTGCCACCAAATAACTATACAGAAGTATGTAAAAACTGCAACGAAACCTACAGAATGTTGAATGACCTGTATAACAACTTACAAAGGATGAACAGGCAAGGTGGAGAGTCTGGGCACGCCGCCCACTTGTGTATCGACGTGGAAGACGCGGTAAGTATTTATTAATACTCAGCAGAAAGGCCTTGTCCTGGTGGTCTTTGTTCATCTGAGCCGTTTGCGCTTGTCCTGCTCGGGATTGCTTTTCCCCTTCTTGGTGTGGGATGTCAGGCTGACGTCCCCTGGGGAAACAGTGAGCTCGGTGGGACTGTCTCGCTCTGTCTTGTCCTCAGTCAGGGCAGCAGGAACGTGACTGAAACTCCTCATCGCCCGAGTGCATTCCAGTTTGAGTAGCTGCACTTTAATTTCTTGTTACTGTGAAAAAGGTGGCTTTAAAAAAAGAAAAATCTTTTCATCTTCTGGCTTTTAATGCGCAGCTTTACTGCTGTTGTTCTACCCAGTGTAATAATTTATTCCTTATTACAGCAGTCGTTTCTAGGGGTCCTCAGCACTGGCGACGTACGTTTGGGAAAAGCTTTATTACATTGTAGAGTTTTAAGCGGTTGGGCAAGAGGAGCGTTGTTGAAAGCGTGGGATTAGCCTTGTCCCCGCAGGCTGTCAGTGAGTTCTCTGGGCAGCAGGCATGTGGGAATGCCTACAGTGTATCTGAGTATACGCTGGTTTTGAAGCTTGTAAAAGTTTTGATGTGAAATCTTGGCTCTGATAAATTGCCTGTTTCTATGTTTCCAGGGGTTTGCTTTCTTCTGGGGGGAGATCTGTGTTTTCTGAGATCGCATCTGAACGCTTGAACGTCCTGAGGCCTGAGCGTTTGCCTTGCTGCACAGTGGAAAGGCACGTGCTTGCTGATGTTTTTCTTTCAGATGAACATCACTCGGAAGCTTTGGAGCAGGACTTTCAACTGTTCGGTTCCCTGCAGTGACACAGTCCCCGTGATTGCAGTTTCATCCTTCATTCTCTTCCTACCTATCGTTTTTTATCTCAGTAGCTTCCTTCACTCCAAGCAGAAGAAGCGGATACTCATTTTGCGTAAGTGGTGTTGCTGGCATTTCGCTGTTGAGGTTGGGTGGTGCCAGGGACTCGCTTGGCTCTTGCTGGGAGAGGGGGCCCCGCCAGATCTGCCTGCAGCTGTGCTGACGGCGCTAATAGCGACTATTAGTCTGCTGCTGTCCCCTGAAGAAGGGTAGTCAAGAGCTCCAGCCATATCTTTTCATTAAAGTTTCTGGACGTGAGCAGAAAGCTGTTGGCGAGTCTGTGCTGGATAAATAGAGGGAGTGGAGAGACTAGTTTTTGTGGAATTCTTTGTGTTTAATTTTCATATAATTTTTTCCCTTTCTAGCCAAGCGCATCCAGTCAAATGCCAGTCTTGTGAACATCCAAGAAAAATACAGCTGAGCTGCAAAACAAAACCTGAGAACTGCTGCTGGTATACAGTGGGTACAATTGTGTTGGAATGAGGCCGGCACAAAAGAGGAGTTAATTATGGTTTAGTGTAATGATACAGAGCAACACAAGTTAAACAAAATGCTGTCTGACTTCTAAGCGAGGATATTAACAAACATGACAAGGCAGGGCTGTGTGACACTGTATGGACTCTGGTTCTGAAAAATCTGTGGGTTTTTTTCAGTCTCAGGCTGAAGCTGGTGTTTTTCTGTTTCTAAGCTTTTGTACTTCTCATCTGTAGAATAGCTATGCGTTCCTTGCATGAGTGGGTTTTTTTTTCCTCTTTAATTGTATTTCTTTCACAGAAACTTGAGATTCTGAATCTTTTTGAGGTGATTTTCACAGACAGACAACGCTTGAAATAATATTTGATGTTCCTACTTGAAACGTTAATTCCACCTAATACTCGGTTTTGCCAGAGTTGGGATGGATGGGAAACCTTTAAAAAGAAAAGTTCCCACCTCTCCGGTACCTCTCTCTAAAGTCATGTTGCTGGTCTCTCTTGGGGGAAAAAAATAAAATGAAGGCGTGAAATATGCAGAGGAAGTGGTAATATATAATGTCCAAAGCTAGCAACAAAAGCAACAGAACTGCCAGTGCTAGACATGAATAATAATCGTTGATGACTACAGTATTCAGTTATCTCTGAAACAGGCGGCGTATTTAGTCATTTGCACACTTTAACCACTAAAATCATTGCTTTTCAAATGCTGGATTTTCAGAGGCTTATTTTAGATGCCTGCTTGGGTAACTGAATACTTCACTGTTTGTCTGTTTATTGTGTTATTTCCTTTCCTTTTTAATTATCAAGGTTGTGTGGGGTGTTTTTTTTTTTTTCTTTCGTAAAGAAGCGAGGTAAAGTCAAGTCACTGGAGATGCTGAATTTGCTGGTCTAGAGCTTGCTGTGGCTTAGGATTTTCAGAGGCTTATTTTAGATGCCTGCTTGGGTAACTGAATACTTCACTGTTTGTCTGTTTATTGTGTTATTTCCTTTCCTTTTTAATTATCAAGGTTGTGTGGGGTGTTTTTTTTTTTTTCTTTCGTAAAGAAGCGAGGTAAAGTCAAGTCACTGGAGATGCTGAATTTGCTGGTCTAGAGCTTGCTGTGGCTTAGAGGTGTTTA